GGAGGCCTCAGACGAAGGGCCATCCCAGTCAGGCGGCCTTCCCACTACATAATGTATCCCCCACGCCTCTCTGTGTCTGTGTCTTGAGTCATTGCCCGCTTGTGACTGTCATAGCTGAGTTGTCTCGTGCGCATATAGAGCTCAGACCTCACAACACGTGTGTAAGTTGCGTTTTTGTGGAGTCACACTCAGCTCGAGGCGCTCGTTGTACTCACAAAGGGGGCTAGCTCTCTGACGTCTCTAGTGTCTCTAAGTCTCTCTCTCTCTCTCTCTCTCTCTCTCTCTCTCTCTCTCTCTCTCTCTCTCTCTCTCTCTCTCTCTCTCTCTCTCTCTCTCTCTCTGTGTGTGTGTGTGTGTGTGTGTGTGTGTGTGTGTGTGTGTGTGTGTGTGTGGTCGAAGCGCGTGCGCGTGGGCGTGTGAATAGCGCCTGGTTGCTTCCCCAGGATTAGTCTTCTCTACCGAGGGGACGGACTAAGGGCGGCTGGGCGGGGCTGCGGCCGGAGCTAGCATGGCTCGTCACCCTTGTCGGCACACCGGGAACGTAGTTTGACCAGTACTCGTGCAGAGGGTTGGAGTCCTTGCAGTCCGCGCCGATCTTCGTCTTGCGAAGCGTCTTAGCCGAGCCCTTGCCCCTTGACCTTCATGTAGTCGTCGATGCCGCGCTCCATCAGCACGCACTGGAGCGTCGACGTCTGGATCGACTTCGACGCCTGCGTCTCCTTGACATTGATGCCGTCGACCAGCAGCTTTTGCACGTCCTGGCGGATGAGGGCCCGGTGCAGCCGGTCGAAGTAGACGTGCAGCTCAAACTCGTCCGCACTGCCCTGCGTCGCCTCTGCAAGCCCATCCCAGTTGACGGCGTGAGCAATGATGTCGATGTCGCGGCCGAGAGCGGGCATCACAATCACCGGAAGGCCGTGGTCGAACGCCCAATCGACAGCGCTTGTGACCGAGCCGTCTGGCCGCGACGAAGAGCTCTCGAGCCGGCTGATCGAGCCGATCTTGCGCGTGCTCGGGTAGCGGCACATGCGGCCAAGCTCCTGCGTGAAGCCAGCGAGTGTGCCACCAGTCCGGAGGCGAAGGTCGAGGCTCACGAGTGAGTGCGGAAACGTGTCGCCCATGCGTGCCTTCTCGGTGACGATGAGCAGCATCGGCAAGTTGTGCAGGTCCGAGTAGCCGAGCTCGACCTTCTTCGCGCGCGCATCAGTCGGGTCCATGGAGCTCCGCTTGCGCTCGAGGATGCCGTCCAACGTCAGCGGCTCACTGAGCTTGGTCACGTCGCCGGCCGGGCCGTAGCCCCACTGCCCCGGCGATAACCCGTCGCCGACAGGGCGGCGCAAGTCGTGGTACGTCGCCGTAGGCGTGGCGCGGCGCATGAAGTACGGCTCGATGTCCTCGTGAATCACCGTATCGGAAATGTCCGACAATACCGAAAAGGCGCGCACGCCCTGCGGACGAGCGAGCCCGAGCTTGTCCAGCGCATCGCGCAGAATCGTCTGCATGGTCATGTTCTCCTGGTTCTCGCGGATCATGACCATCTGACCCCAGATGCAGCCTTTTCCGTCCCGCGACTGGTCCAGCAACGCAAGGACATTGCGGTCCGTCTCCGTGAACCAAGCGTCCTCGTCTGTCGAGCTTGCCAAAAAAAAAACTGTTTTGATGTACGAAAAAGGGAGCTACCTGCTCCGGTAGCCAGCCTCAAGCATCGATGGGATAATAAGATGAGATTACCGGACGAGAACGGGGGGAAGGACAGGCGGGCGACATTTGACGACGTCGGGGATCACAATGTGACGACCAAAACGATCTTGGGGGCCAGGGCGAGACAACAGGTCGGGGTGCCACACGGGGCACACCACAGGCGTATTCTAGAGGGGGAAAAGAAACGGGGAATGAGGGGCCCCGCCACGAGAAGTGCGTTCTGGGGATGCAGAGCGTGCAAGGCGGCTAGGGATGAGGCCACAAAAGAGGCGCGCGAGGCAAGGAGGAGACGCGGGGAACTGGGAGACTGGGACGACTGGAAACAAGAAGACAGTGAGCCACCACAGGCGTCGTTGGCGCACATACTGAGCGGCAGCTGCGCTGGAAATAAGGAAGAGGCGCGTCACTTCATGCGGAAGCTCGACAAACACACAGCGAGGGCGACAGCAAGAGTTGAACGGGAGGCGCCGGACTCAAAAGACACCGCCACATTCCTGAGACGCGCGAGGGCAGCCTCCTTAAAGGCGAAAGGGTCTAGATTTGGAGCGCTCGCCGAAGAGGAGTACGACAAAATAGCGCCCGTGATTGCCTGCACGCTACCCGCACTCACGGACTCCATACCCGAAAGAAAGAGAAGGGAGCTCGCGGGAGAGGTGACGAGTGAACTACAGGTAGTGGGGAAGGCAGCCTCGATTGCCATACAGACATGGGTGCGAAACAACGACAAGACCAAGGCACGGGCAGAGGAACGAGAGAAGAATATAGGGTGGATAAAGCGCCTGTTCACGGCATGGAGGGTGAGCCACACCGAACGTACCGAGCGAAGAGCCGAGCGGAAGGAGGACGGGGAAGATGACTCCGAGGAGGACGAACCAGTGGAAATCCAGTTGTCAGATGTCACGATGCATCCGAAGGGGACCCCAGCGCCGGCATCATCCGTAGAGGCACGAGTGTTCGAAGAGAGAGTGGACCTGAGCAACAACATGACCTGTAGGCAAATGATCGGAGTGGGAGTCAGAAACGTGGTCCTTGCGCGAGGGGAGCTCGATAGACTCGAGGGGCCAGGATACGCCGCGAGGAGGACGGAGTTGCGCCGAAAGGCGAAAGAAGCCGCGAGAACAAGGGACCGGCAGGCGGAAATCCCTTCTGCCCAGTCCTGTTCCCAGTGTTACAAAAAATCCCTGTGTGGCGTCCTTTACAGGAAAATGCCATTCACATACTTATCCTTGTTATTTATTGGCCTTCTTCTACCCTTTTTTTCCTTAGCTTCTCCCCCCTGACTATACCTCTATACCTGTACCTTTCTCTCTTATGTGCCTAATCCCTCTCCGCCTATATCCATACTTTCTTCGTTTTCTTCTTTTTCCCTTCCCTCTGTCCTCTCTTCGTTCTTGTTTCCAGTTTTCACCTTGTCTATTCCTTCTTTAT